GCAAACCTTACTGGAAATTCAAGTAAAGCCGGGGGAAGGGGGGTATGGATGTCTTGGAGAAGATGATTACATTGCTGTTAGTGGGTAAAGCAGGGGGGAGCAACTTCCCATTAGGAAAAAGTACTTAACAATACTTACAAAGAGCCCAAGGGAAGTATATGCTTGATACTATGTTCCTAACTGGACACTTTTGACCTAGTTCCTAGGCAGCCCTCGGTGGCTCGGGCCATATGCAATAGACTAGTGGATTCAGATGCTATCTTTTTGAGGCACACAACAGCCTTCTTAGGCCCCACCAGAAGGATTTGATGTGAAAACCCGCTAAGACAACTCGGTTTTACCTCAAACTCACCTATGTTAGATTTATGGAACTGACATACTCTTGGATTTAAGGCTAAAACAGCCTAGTATGAGAAGAAACAGATGAATGTTATCCCAAGGCTATGGAATTGGCAGTCATTGGACTTCGGTTCAGATTCCTGTGCTTTGAAAGGTGCCCAGTGAAGGTGGCCTGGAACAACCATATACTTACTATTTCAATGTCCTCTTTGCTTTCTTATAACATGTATTAATCTTGTGGGCATGGTTATGCCTTTGTTAATGAGCGTTCTTGAGAGTTCTGCCCTATCACCAACCTCCATTGTTTATGTAAATAGTGTCCAGTCATTTAAGAGTTTAATCTGTATAAACCAACAATTCACGTATTGCAGTCTGAAGCCAGCCTATACTTATATAATTTCCTTTTCTCAACAGTGTTTTAAATTCTATACCATTGACTAAATTAACAACACTATCAAGAGAACTATGGAGTCTTGGGGGTGTAGTGGTTAAACACTGGGGTGTGACCCGCATGGTCAGTAGTTCAAAACAACCAGCAGCTGTCTATTCCCATGAAACAGGTACAGTCTCCGAAAGCCCCAGGGGTCCCTATGAGTCAGCACTGACTCGAAGGCAGTGCACCTTATGTCCCAATAGTCTTTAACATAAAATAATGATGATGTCTCTAAAATGAACCAGAGACATATATAAACCATCGATATGTGAAAGGACTTGGGGCTTGCATTTAATTCTAGCCACAACATACGTTCTTATGGCATGGCCCTGCTTGCCCTCACAGAAAGATCACTGAAGATATGGGTGCTAGAGCCAAGCGTGAAGAACTAGACTGTGACGGGCTATCAGAAAGAATGGTGTGATGGGTCTTAAAGGCGTCTCTTAAAACAAGCTGCCATTAAGGGAGGCATCAACCAAGTCCACTTGAAAGAAGCACACAAGCTGTGTGATCCAAGACTTGTAAATAATAAATCCAAACTCCTAAGGAGAGGATATCAGAGCTTAAATTATGAACATCCAGTTTATAGAATGCTGTGGGTGACCGTGGGTGTCCAATTCATTTGCAGGGTCCCCACATGGATGAACTCTTGGGTGAGTCCCCTCTGACCATAGCTAAGGGGTATGATGAATAGCCTTGTTATCATAGAGAGAACATTGAAAAATCTATTGTGGCAGTTGTTAATAGGTTAAAATATAGTACCTTACCATTTGATCTCCCTTTTGACTCATTTTACAGTTGTTTCAATTTTTAATATTTTCTGCTTTCTCTTTCATGGAGGTTTTTTCTATGTTTTGTCTAGTTGTTGTGGGGGTTTTTTGTTGTTGTTTCCTTAGTATGACTTTGTATGATTGTATTGTTTTGTATGATTTTCTATCTGTGCAATATGGGAGAAGTGGATCTACAGAGGCAGTCACTGGACAGAGACATGGAGGGGAGGATGAGGAGAAATTGGGAGCTAGCAACAAGTATGAGAAGAAAATATTCTGAAGTGGGGTTAAGAATCAAACCGAATATAACCAGCAGCTAGAATTAGAGTTCACTTTTCAAAATTCAATTCAATGATTTGTAAAGTAGTGACATATGGCTTTAGTTTTCACAAATTCACAATCTAGGAGGGAAAGATAATATCATTGATATTTTAACTCAGTGAAAGGTACAACCTGACATCCCAGAGTGGAAGCACAGTGTTGAGGTTACAGGACTCGGTGTTACTGAGTTGATGCCAACCTGTAGCAACCCTATAGGACAGGGTGGAACTGCCCCTGTGGGCTTCCTAGATGGAACTCTTTTTTTTTAAATCATTTTATTGGGGGCTTGAACAATTCTTATCACAGTACATACATACATACACACATTGTGTCACGCACATTTGTACATTTGTTGCCATCATTGTTCTCAAAACATTTGCTTTCTACTTGAGCCTTTGGTATCAGCTCATTTTTCCCTCCCTCCCTCATGAACCCTTGATAATTTATAAATTATTATTATTTTGTCATGTCTTCCACTGTTCAATGTCTCCCTTCACCCACTTTTC